AAAAAAAAAAAAAAAAAAAAAAAACAATTGGTTGTACATAGGATCCACTTGACATACAGACAGTCCACCACTGACTGCAGTAAGTCCAGTCTTGCTGTGACGGAAAAGGTGATAAGCCCCATATCAACCTGGATATGGTATGGTGGGCCCTGCTATGTGTTTTATTGGAAGAATATGCTCTTTCCTTCAGTTCACTAGGATCTTTCTTTTCTTTCTTTTTAGGTTTTAATCTCCCCTTTTCTTTAAGACTCTCATCTGAGACTAAACATTCACATTCAGCAAAGTTCCTTGCTTTCTTTTCCATCCCCATATCCACACTGCACACTGTTTCCTCTGAGATCCTTTCTTATCTCAGGAATACATCCACAAGAAACTATACAAAGAACTTTGGTGATTTCATTTGTTGGTTTGGATAATTTGGATGTACTCAGAATAATAAATTTTAACACTCTGCAAGGACAATTGTTTTTTAAATTATTTTTTTTGATTCAGGGTCTTGCTTTGTTGCCCAGACCTAGCCTCAAACTCATGATCCTCCTGCCTCAGCCTCCTAGCTGAGATTATAGGCACACACTATAATGCCCAGCTTTAAACAACTTCTATTAATTTTCTGGGGCATTAAAATTTTACCTGATGTTTATTTTTCTAACATTTCATCAAAAAGAACTTTTGATGGGGCTGGGGCTGAAGCTTAGTGGTAGAGCTCTTGCCTTGCAGGTGTGAGGCCCTGGGTTCAATCATCAGCACCTCATAAAAATAAATAAACAAATAAAGATATTGTATCCATCTACAACTAAAAAAAATTTAAAAAGAGATTCTGAGAAAATCTTTTTTTATAACAGTCTCTTTTTTAAAATTTATTTTTAGTTGTAGTTGGACACAATACCTTTATTTTATTTATTTTTATGTGGTGCTGAAGATCGAACCTAGCGTCTCACACGTGCTAGGCAAGCACTCTACCACTAAGCCACAACCCCAGTCCCTGTAACAGTATTTTTTATATTTCAGTTTAGTTTTGCCTTCTCCTGGGTAAAGTTATACAAATAGTCACTACCCTAGAATATGGAGCAAATGATGTCAGACCCTCTCAGATAATACTGATTCAGGAATTAAAGAAAAGAAAGGAAAAAAATGAGGATGGAACAAGGTAATAAACATTTATTGAACATCTAGCATTGCTGTATTAAGTACTTTACATATATTATTTCTTTTAATCCTCACAACCCTACACGTAGATAGCCTATATATATACACTACACATAAGTATAATTATCTCCAGAATAAGAAATGGAGGGGCTGGGTTGTGGCTTGGTATTACAGCGCTTACCTGGTATGTGTAAGGCACTGGGTTTGATTCTCAGCACCACATATAAATAAATAAAGGTCCATTAACAACTAAAAGAAAAAAATTTTTTAAAAAATGGAAACTGAGAGGTTTGCCAACAATTACTTTAAGAGGGTGTGATAATCAGCTTTTCATCTTTGTAACCAAAATACCTGATAAGAAAAACTTAATGAAGGAAAGTTTATTTTGACTCCCAGTTTCAGAGATTCAGTCCATGGTTGAATATTCCTAACAGCTCAGACCATGGTCTGACTTCATTGCTTTGGGCCCAAGGTGAAGCAAACCATCTGGCAGAAGGGCATGGGGGGGAAAGCTACTTACCTCATGGTGGCTGAGAAGCAGAGAGAGCAAGGGGAGGGGTCCCAGAGAAAAGGGATCCTTCTGGGGCACACCACAGTGACCCACCTCCTCCAGCCATACCATACCTGCCTACAATTACCAAGTTAGTCCATTCAATCTGCCTAGGATAAACTGATTAGGTTATAGTTCTCACAATCCAATAATTTCACCTCTGAATATTCCTGCATTAGCACAGAAGCTTTTGGAGAACACCTTATATCCAAACCATTACTGTGCACACAAGAATTGTTACTGGTCTTTTTTTTTTTTTCCTTTTCCTAATTAGAGACCATAACATATCTTAGCAATTTAGAATTAAAAAAAAAAAAAAAAGTTAAAGAGCCAATAACAAAATTCTGCAATAACTACTATTAACATTATAGTATATATATATATATAACTATGCATATATGCTTTTAAACTTTCATTTTTACAAAACTGGTATGTACACTATAAACAATTTCAGAGCCTCCTTTTTCACAAAGCATTTATATCCTAAGCATTTCTCCTGTTATTAAAAATTCTTCAAAAATTTTAATTCTTACATATTATCTCATCACATAAATATAGGAAAATTTATCTTCTTCCTTTTTACTGATGATTTGTTTCTCAAAGGCATAGACAGAGGTTTACTTAGGAAAGTAGACATACATTCAGTTAGAACAGGATAGGGGGCAACCTCAAGGTTTCCATTTTTTGATGTAAGAAACATTTCAGTGGTCGCATGCTTCCATAGACTTTTTGTTTATAATCTATATAATCTGGCAACATAGGTGCACATGGGGACACTTCAACATGAGAAGGCAGTCCAATCTGTCAACATTAAAGTACTTCACTTATAATCATAAGTGTAAGTCCCAGAATAAAGTTTGTGATTATCGAAAAACAAAAACAAGCTGAACTAATAGAACAAGGCTTCATAAATAGTATATAAACAAATGAGACAAAAAATAATTTTGTGACATGAAATTACACTACTTTTTCTTTTTGGATTTGTTTGGCTATTTTTTTTTTCTGTTTGGTTTTTGGGTTTCACCATACCRGGGATTGAACTCAGGGGTGCTCTACCACTGAGCTACACCTTTAGCCCCTTTCATTTTTTATTTTGAGACATGATCTCACTAAGTTGCTGAGACTGGAACTCAAGATCCTCCTGCCTCAGCCTCGCAAGTAGCTAGGATTATAGGGTGCTTCACCACACTTAATACACTACTCTTTCTTCTATTTTGGTAACTGCTTCTTCTCTAATCTGACTTATAAATATTGGCATCACTCAGGAATCAGTCTTAGGTACACTAATCTTCTTATTATATGTACTTTTCAGGCAATATTCACCCACATCCAGGGCTTTAACTGTGATGTTTATACCTATGATTCCCAAATGCACATTCTAATGCTCATCTCTCTTCAAAGTCCAAATCCATATACTTTTCTGCCTACTTCATATCTCCCCTAAATGTTTCACAATTGCCTTAAATTAGATAAGAACTAAACTGAATTCATGATCTCTGTCCCTCAAATCTGCTCCTGTTCCATTATTCCATATTTCAGGAAATGGTACTACCCAGTTCCTTAAAGCAAAAATCAGGGAATCATCTCAGACATTTTCCCATAATTTCCCACCGCCCACAATTGCCAAATCTTATAAATTCCATCTCCTAAATATCTCTCATATTAATCAACCTTATACCCTCTACTTTAATACCACACTAACAATCCTAGTCACAATCACTTTCTGTCTAGAATATAATAACAAATACCTAGCTAGTCTTCCTGAATATTTTCTTGCTCCTTTTTAATCACTTAYCTGAATTAAAAACTGATTATTTAAAAACACACTTTAGATTATAGCCTTTTATGACTTCCCWTTACTCTTGGAATAATGTCCAAAATCTTTAACATGGTCTTCAAGGCACTAACAATCTGATTCCTGCTTACTTGCTTTTAGCTTAAGTGTTGCTTCCTTAGTAAGTCCTCCTGTTATGGTTTGAATAAGTGTCCCCAAAAAACTCATATGTGAGACAGTACAAAAGTTTTAGATGTAAAACAATTAGATTATGAGAGCTAAAACCTGATCACTGATTAATCCGCTGATATGGATTATCTGAGTGGTAAATGCAGGCAGRCAGGGTATGGCTAGAGAAAGTAGGTAACTGGGAATATGCATTGGAGGTTTATATTTTGTCCTTGGTGAGCAGGGGTTTCTCTCTGCTTCATGGCCATCATATCCTGAGCTGCTTCCCTCTACCACACCCTTTTGCCACGATGTTCTGCCTAATCTTAGGCCCAGAGCTATGGAGTCAGCCAAACATGGGCTGAAGCTCTGAAATCATGAGCCAAAATAAACTTTTCCTCCTCTATACTGTTCTTGTCAGGTCTTTTGACCACAGCAATACACCTCCTGACTTCAAACTAAGTAATGTCCCTTGTTATTTTCAAAGCTCTTCATACTTTTCCTTGCACTACTATAATTATTTCCATAATTGTTTAAGGTCTGACTTCCCCATCCAGACTGTAAGCTATATGAGAGTAGGAACTTTATCAATCTTGTTCACTAGGACATTGCCAGTACCTAGCAAAGTACCTGGCACATGGTTGGCACTCAGTAAAYACTTGTTTTAAAAATAAATGAACAAACAAATGAACAACAAAAAAAAAACTTTCTTGAATGAATGAACTAAAGCTAAGTTAATACGTAAGGCAGTACTCAAACATAAAGAATACTACAAGAGTAGGTACAAACCAAAGGAAAAATATTACTTCTAGCATTGTATTTGGTGAGATTGCACCTGCAAGTGTTGATGCAAGTTGAAACTAAAGTTGAATTTCCTCCCCATGTTTATTTAACTCCCTAGTTAGAAATTAGCCATGGATGCATACACATGTGTGTGTGTGTACTTTTTTTTTTTTTTTTTTTTTTTTTGGTACACAGGGGTGCTTGACCACTGAGCCACATCACCAGTCCTTTTTATTTTTTATCTTGAGATAGGGCCTCACTAAGTTACTGAGGCTGGGCTTGAACTTGAGATCCTTCTGCCTCAGCTTTCCAAGCCATTGGGATTACAGTGTGCGAAGCCTTAGATATTTACCATTTAAAATGACAGAAGTCAAATTAAAAGGTTTCCCTGGTTCTTTAAACCTTGAATATAGTAACAATTTAATTTGAATTTAGTCACAAAATCAACATGTACTTTTTAAAACTTTCTACCTTCTCATATAAAACAAAGACAGCTTGTGGTATGGAACATAAATGTTCCCCAAGGGCCCATCTGCTAAAGGCTGGGTCACCAGACTGTGGAGCTATTCAGAAATAGTGAAACCTCTGGGAAGTAAGCCCTACTAAAAGGAAGCTGGGTCACTGCAGGCTTGCCATTCACTGAAGGGGATGTTAGGACATTTTGTCTCTTTGCTTTCCAGCCACCATGAAGTGAGCAGCTTTGCTCTACCACACACTCCCCACCATAATGTTCTGCCTGGAAAAAGGCCTAAAAACAAAAGAACCAACTAATCTTGGACTGAAACCCCTGAAACCATGAGCCTAAATGAACCTTTCCTCCTTATATGTTTATGTCAGGTACTTTGTCACAGTCATAGAAAGCTAACAGAGCTGTTCAAAGCAATGAAATCAATGATAAACCAAGACTAGTACCTAATTCTGATTTCTAATTCTGATTCTAATTCTCCTTCTGACTATCCCATCTGTAAGGTCCTTAGGTCACAAGCTAAATGTGAACTAAGGAAAATATCTGTAGTTCAGATAACTCATTGTTTTTAGAAGTTTCAAATGAAACTAACATTCCTGCTTTCTTTCCTTTTTTAGGAAACTGTACCCTACTTTATTGAATGGTTACCAAATTTCAAAATAAGATAATAGATAATGTAAATAAATTGCAATCCACACAAATAAATACATCTGCAAACAGAACTGACTTTTAGGCAACTCTTGTTCTGAGAAAACAAGATCTTTCCACTGTGCTCAAAATCTACATTCTGAAAAGCTACAGTTACAAAACAAAAAAGTACATTTTGATGAGGGCTTATTATAAAGAGCTTTTCCCAAGAGTAAGGATAACATTTTGGACATTATTTGTTCAGTTAATAAGCAAGTATATGTATTTTATGATATGGAGTAAGTAATGATGGTAAAAGTTAAGTATGACAGAGAAAAAAAGGACATTCAAAAATTGAGTATGTTATAATTTAACCACAAAGTCCTCCAATCTTACCCAAATAAATGACAAATAAAGATGACCTTTTGAAATACCACTATTAGCTGCAGAAAAAAGAAAACTTCCTGTTGCTCCCTAATTCCTACATTTAGGAAATGTCAAGTATGATTTTATAAACCTCATACATTTTTCACACGTATTCTCATTAGAAGACTAACATTATGGTAAGATACTTGATACTTCTGAAGTACTCATCTCTACTTTTGCTTCATAATAAAAATTTTAAATGAGACAAAGAATCATTGCATAATCAAATCAAAAAATAGATGATACCGTTTGCATTTGTGGGGCACAGGCCCTGCTGACCATAYGCAGAAGTTCATGGACACCTAGGTAACTCAGGCCAGTTACCTTCATAAGTTCCAGTGGGGAAAGACATAAAAAGTCCTAAAGAGACAAAGAGAATATTTTAAACACAAATGTGAAACAAGGATATTGGAATAAAAGGAAATTTTCAATTGACATTGCCCATATGTAGATAAAAATGTAATTATTTGCAGATCAAAGATTTATACATTCTTTCTTCTTTGCTGTGCTAGGGATTGAACCTAGGGCCTCACACATGCTAGGCAAATGCTCTACCACTGAACCACACCCCAGCCCTATGCATTTTTTTATTGTATTTTTCCCCTAAACATGCCTTAACTAAAAATATGATGATATAATCTTATATTCTAATTATTAGTTCAATCAGCATATATCAGAAGACATACCAGGCAACATTACATAGCAGTAGCATCCAATTCAGGTTTATATGAACACTGTACTTGTACCAAAAAGAATCTGGGCCTATACCAGAAAGAATCTGGTGCATATTTGTATGCACCCAGAAAGTGTCAGGTTGCAATGTATTTTTTGGGGTACACTTCAGTGGCAGAGCACTTGCCTAGCATGCATGTGGCCCCGAATTTGATCCTGAGCACTGAAAAAATAAAAGGTGTTTATTTCTAATTTAAAGTTTACTCAGATAAAGTATTTGATAATTGAGAGAAAATAGGGCTGAATGTGGAATAAAATGTTAAATTTCATACTTTTTAGAGCATTCTGAAATATGAACAAGAGGATTATTAAATGTATAATGGAGGAACCACAGATGCACTTAACATACCAACTGATTCAAAAAGAATCAAGTATGCTCTGAAATCTATCTTGTTAAGGATAAAATCCTAAAATAAATCCTTAAACTTTTTCCCCCCTCCTGAAAGGAAATTATTTCATTACAGTGCTTATTAAAAATGCAATATTTGCTCTATGTATTTCTCAGCCTTCATTAATAAGAAAATAGTACTAAAAATTAGTTGTAACTATTAATTTTTCTTCCAAGAGAAATTTCCCATGTTGAATACCATCTCCTAATTTGAGTAAAATTTCTTATGTAACTAACTACAAAAAGTAGATAAAAATTTCTGTACAGCCCCAAATAAATGGTATGAGTATATTTCACCTTACATCCCCTAAAATGCAAAAATATTAAATTTCAGTAAATGAAATTACATTTGGAAATGCAAACTAAGTGGCTTATGGAAAAGCACCATCACTCAACTTTTTTKGGGGGGGGATGGGGGGGAGAAGATGGGGGGCAAACCTAAGTTTTTATGTTCCAGATTTAAGAATTATCAAAGTGGACTGGGGTTTTGACTCAGAGGTGGAGTGCTTGCCTAGCACAAGTGAGGCACTGGGTTCAATCCTCAGCACCACATAAAAATAAATAAATTAAATAGAGGTATTGTGTCCATCTACAACTTAAAAAATTAAAAATAAAAAAAAGGAACATGGCTAAGGTGATTAGCCATTAAAGAAAAAAGAATTATTAAAGTATATTTACTTAAAGTTAATTGGGCATAAAAATCTCTTAACAAAAAAATTAACTATTAAGTTTTACCTGACAGGTAACAATCTGATGTCTGCTCAGACGGTCACACAGCTCTTGAGTTAAACCCACTCGTCTTAGTTTCTTGCTACCCATGCTTCCAGATCCAGCAAAGAAAAGAAGAACCTTGAAAAGAACATCAGAAAATAATATACATGATAGTGGATAGGCTTTCCAAAACACTTTATAAAATAAAAATTTTTCAAGTTTCTCCATGTGCAAAATGAAACGTGATATGTAAATGATTAAGAAAGAAAAAATGATGGCCTTAAAGAGGAGGAAACACCTATTTATTCAACACACAAAACAAGACAACCTCAGAATGTGCATTTCACACAATTCTTTGATATTTATTCCACAAATATTGTTATATATTTCATAATTATATAGCATCTTAAGATTGTCAGGATATTTATAGTTTATTTGGATATGTAATTAATTCAAGGCATATATCCAAACAGCACCCCTAGAAGTCTTTATTTTTATTGCACTATAATAACAGCTAAATTTATTGAGTACCTCCTTTTTGCCAGGCACTGTTCCAAAAGCTTTACCTTAATTATCACATATAATATTTTCAAAAGGCCTAAAAGGAAAATAGATTATTGGACCCTCTTTTACATATGAGAAAACTAAACTGGAAATGTCTGCTAACAGAAAAAGTAAATGATAGGGCTGGAGTTGTGGCTCAGTGGTAGAGCGCTTGCCTAGCATATGTGATGCACTAGGTTTGATTCTCAGCACCACATATAAGCAAATAAATAAATAAAGGTCCATCAATAACTAATAAAAATATATTTTTTAAAAAAAGTAAATGGTGGATTCAGAACCCAGCAATCTGACTCTGAGGCCTATCTTCTTTTTTTGCGGGGCGGGGGTTGGGGGTGGGGACTGAACTCAGGGGCACTCGACCACTGAGCCACATCCCCAGCCCTATTTTGTATTTTATTTAGAGACAGGGTCTCACTGAATTGCTAAGTGTCTCACTTTTGTTGAGGCTGGCTTTGAACTTGTGATCCTCCTGCCTCAGCCTTCTGAGCCGCTGGGATTACAGGCATGCGCCACTGTACCGGACTTAGACCTATCTTCTTAACCATTACACCCTACTGCAAGTCCAGAATCATATTAAACCTTCCTTTTTTCTAGGAGCCAGAACAAACCAGAATCAAATGAGATTTATTATGGTTATTATCTATAAATCAAAATTGTTCTTTATTATAATAGCTGCTTAAAATATCAATGCAATTAAATTTCATTCTTGTTGTACCCTTGCTGAGAGCAAATGAGGCTCATGAAATGTTTGTTTTTGGAGAGCTAGAACAGAATCATTATGACTTCCCTAACAATAATAATGCATACAAAGGAAAGGCTGTGTACCTCACCTAAGGTGGCAAAGCATTCTCTGAAAAGAGTAGAAATAGGAACTCATCATTGCTCCAGGGAAAAAAGCAATATAATTATCAGTAATATTTTGGAACACATTCCACAAACATAAAATATATGACCCTCATTTTCTAATGGGAATTTCTTAGTATTGATTTGTTTTCCCCAATAGAAAGTTTACAAAGTGACATCTACCTGCTAGATTATTGTTTAGTATCTTTTCAGATCAGGTAGTTCCAGGCAATAATACCATTTAGACTGATAAATTCAGTGGGTCAAAAATAGAACAACAACCAAAAAAGTAACCCCCAAACTACAGAGATTTTTAACAATAACCAATCTGCTAACTTTGTTTTAACAAGGCCTGGACTACAGCACACTGTTTTTGGTCACTCCCCATTTTACCAAAAACAAAAACAAAGGAATAAAAAACATTCCATTCAATTCGTAGGAACAAATTGTACAAACTCTGCTGAACTCTGGGACAGAAGAATCATTCAGATAGATTTCCTCCCCTTTGTGTACACACAAGTGGAGAAATGCAAAGAGATGTAGTATACACAAATAACTACAGTCATGCAGTAAGTGTTGCTATTTAAGTGCTATGGGAGCTGATAGGAAGAAATCGCCAACTGGCCTGAGAAAGTTAGGTCAGTGTCACAGTCTTGCCAGTTTTCTAAAAACTTACTTTTATCCATTAAAACATCCCACAGGCACCCAAGCCACAGAATAAATTCCATACTTCTTAGGGTCATATTTTTAAAACTTTAAAGGTGGGTCCTGTATGTTCATTCACACATCAAATTGCAAGGCTCATATCCTGTCCTTCCTGGCAAGTTACTTACCTGCCAGTATATTGGTTACCTCATCTGTWAAACGGAGGTAACTTTAATATCAACTTCATAGGATAGCAGCGAGGGGTTAAAAGACTTAGGTTGTGGCTGGCACACAGCGCTTGGTTCATTCAGCAAACATCATCTAACCTGCTCTCCAGCCAAAAGGTATCTTGGTAGGTTACTCAAGCACCCTATAGCCTCCCTGACCTCCCTCCACAAGGGCTTCCCCAGAGTAGGACTCTTCCTCTCCAACGTTTCCATCACACTTTGTACATATTTGTTTCATAATCTTATTAAGGCATCTTTGTTTCTTCCTGCTGCGTACGTGTGTGCCCATCTATGTGTTTTGGAGGCGAGGAGAGAAACTTAAACCCCGAAAATTGAGCTCTTTCCACTCCGCCACCAAGAAAAATTCTGTTAGACGTTTAATGAAAACTGTGAAGTAACAATACTATCTGAAATTTGGATGTTTTACCTCATTTTACAGATAAGGCTACTGAGACGCGAAGTTGAGAAACGCGCAAGCGAAACACCTAAACCATTGGTGGAGCCCGCCTTCGAATCCAGGAACGAGTCTAGATTATTCCAAGCTCTTCAACACCACCTGAAGTGAGACCGTCCCTGAACTTCCCCTAAAGACAGGATTCCCTAGACCCCGATCTGTCTTAAGTGGTGATGGTACGTGTGCGCCTGGGAGAGGGGAGATGAAAACGTTACGGGAGGAAAAAGCTTTCTCCCACAAAGGGCACCTTCCAAGCATCCCCCCACATCCCCGCAAAGGCCACCAGACCTGAAGCGGGATTCCCGTCAAGAGCCCTACCCAGCATCCAAAGAGGCTCTCCGCCACCCCGACAGCAATATCCACGGGCTCAGGAAGGGAACCGGAAATAATGAGAATACCCACTTCCCTACAACTGTTCCCCACAAGAAACTTTCCAGTACCAAGCGTGCAGCTTCCAACTTTCAAAGTTTCCCCCACTCTTCACACAGTTCCCCGCGGAAAGCGCCGCAGAGCAACAACCGGAGCGCTGGTTGGTCGTCATCATGGCTATTTATCCAATCAGAGGCAAGCACAAGCCCAGGTGGCTCCGATGCTTACTGGGAATTGTAGTTCTGACTACCTAAATCTACGCATGAGCTAGGAATCAGAGTCAATTTCTCATTATAGTGATCCTCAAAATCCGGTGTAGGAACATCACCAAGAGAGTGTGAAGCAAAGGAAACCTTGCTTGGAGTTTTCTATTTTCTTTCATGTACTATAACATTTAAAAATTGTTTAATGTACGAGAGAGGCATGTTTTCTGGGAGATAGATATCAATCTGCTCATCACAGAGAGTTTTTAGAAGACGATCTTGTGTTTAATTTGCCTTKTCAAAAATAGTTTGGGAACTGCTTATTGAAATTGCTCAAACTGAAAAACACACATTGGGGAAACCCATGGGTCTCTAGCTGAAAACAAACACAAAAGAAAGCAAACAGAAGGTTTGTGTAAATGCAGTCGCAGTGAGGAAATCTAATATACCATTAAGACTTGATTTCAGAGTATTATTATATTCGCAAAAAGCCTTTGTTCGTTCTTTGCTCTCCCCTGTGCAACTCCTCCGTGCATACCTCGATTTTATAATTTAGACCACTGTAACCTAATTATTGCCCTGCACCCCTCCTTTGAGAAGAGGTATCTTGCCTCATTCGAGGGAAATGGACCTGGCACATTGTTCAATTAACGGTTGCTGAGAAAATGAGGAAATAAATAAATGGAGTGAAGCAGAAGAATATGAAAATTCAGACCACAGAGCTCTGGGATTATAAGAGAGCCCAAGTTGAATAATAATGGAGAATAGCCCTGGTATCCCTAGAGTCTAGCAAAGCATTGTTACTGGTTGGCACTAAACAAGTGTTGACTTCCAATGCTATGAAAAGCAGGGGTTAAAAAATAGAGGAATAGCAAGTGAYCCTGCCACCTGCTCCACCGAAGGCAAAATTGAAAGTGTTGAGAGGAGGAGCTGTCCTAATTGAGAGGGGCTGGTCCCTAGCCAAACTAGCTGAATTAACTCTTTCCGAGCTTTCGCTACTGGTGAGATGGCATCACGTGACTCAAACATGGCACTAAATTTACGTCCTCCCTCCACTGAGCCAATAGGAATGCACTGTCAGCCGTCGTCACCGCCCCCACCACCTCTGTTCACAGAGGATCTGTCACCTGACTCGTCCCAAACATGGCTGCGCTGGAAGCTCTTTTGCTTTGGGCGCGGGGAGCAGGTGAGTAGAAGGCGCCAGGGAGAAAGCAGGGCGCTCTCCAAGACCCGGGTAGTAAGTGTCCCTGCCTCCCTCACGCCCCTTACCCCGCTAGCCCTCCACTTCAGGCTTTCGTCTCCTAGTYTTCAATCCTCTGGCTTAATTGAAGGCTCAAACGAGGGGAATTCCTGCTGAATTTTTCATCCTTGCGGCGGCGACCATCTGGGGATTTGGAGCCGGACTGGCACAGTGTTTAAGAGGGAATATGGAAGTCAAGTTATGGGTCGGACTCCGGGCTAATACGATGGTTAATATTATCAAATATAGGATCTTCAATGGTATCCACACTTTGGAGAAAGTGGTAGGTCTTAAAAAGAGATGGTAACATCAAATTAAACTTAATAAGGAGAGTAATTTCCGCCTTTCCTAGTCGGGCCAGTAATTGCTGGTTTAAATAGAGTTTCTTCTCACTGTGGTACCTTGTTCCTAGGAGGTGCTCCACGAATGAGAAAAATGAGGATGTGTTCCGTGTAACTCATCTCTGTCTATTTCCCTGCACTCTGTGCTGGGAAAATGAATCATCCATTTGGAGAAGAAGAAACTGCTACCTTGAAACAGCTTTTGGGGTTTTTCTGTGAGTGCCTGCGGAGGGGAGAATGGGAGCTGGCACAGGCATGTGTACATCAGCTACACGAAGGGCACGGGGATATCCCAAAGAGGGTGGAAGACATACTTCGGGCACTGGTGCTGTGTCCAGATCTGCTGAGGTAAGGATCTCCCTTTTTGACGAGGAATTTCAGGATAGAAGACACATGGTTTAATATGTGGGCTTTGGTTAATGTGGTCCATTCAACTATCTTCTAAGAATTAGCAGAGCACAGTGTATTTCACATACTCTGAAATTTTCCTAATATATGCCCATTACTTTTACCAATATAGTCCATTGGTTTGGGGTTATGATCTAGAACTGGATTTAAGCCTGGCCACCAAATTGTGCCTTAAACCACCATTTCTTGGCATATATGCATTAAAAAGTATTTTCTTTACCTCCAAAAARTAAATCCTGCTCTAGTCTAGATTTTGGTGTAGTTTTTCCCAGTTTCCACTAATTGTGCCATCTCATATAACTGTAGTACAATATCAAAACCTGGAAATTGACACTGGTATATTACTGTTCACTAAAACCTGATTTGGTTTTCACCATTTTTTAAGTCTGCATTCATTTGTTATTGGTAATTCTATGCAATATTATCCATATTATCCCATAGTAATAAAGATACAGAACTATTGCATCACTGCAAAAGAATTTCCTCACCTCTTTTTATTTGCACTACAACACTTCCCTGTCTYCTGGTAACCACATTTCTCCATCATAGATTTTTAATGAAGTTCTGCCTGATGGTGCTATTACTAGTGGTATAGGAATGAAATGTATTGTTTTTGTCTTTCCTTGGCTTGTCCTTACTTTAACCATTATTTACAGTATTGAAGTATTGTATTAGCACATAAAGAGTAGAGAAACAAATAATCCTTTTCTTCCTTTATTTGTTTAGGTTCTAGCTGGTTATTGTCTGCATTACTAATTTCAAAGAAAGGCTTATGAATTCCTATAACTCTTTTGCATATAATTAAAAATAAATTTTTATGAACTTCCTTTTTTCTTTTATATTTGATTGTTTATGTTTAAGAATATACTTTAGATAGAAACAGCTGTTGCAATTTTCTCTGTAATATTATATTTAAAAGTAAGACTAACTGGGAACAGTGTCACACATCTATAATCCCAGCAACTCAGGAGGCTGAAATAGGCAGATCACAAATTGGAGGCCAGCCTCAGTAATTTAGCAATTTCCTAAACAACCTAGCGAGGCCCTAAGCAACCTAGCAAGACCCTGTCTCAAAATTAAAAATAAAAAGGGATGGGGTTGTAGCTCAGTGGTAAAGCACCCCTGGGTTCAATCCCCAGTACCAAATAAATAAATAAATAAGATTCAGTTGGCCATAGTGAAGAATGCCTATCATCCCAGACACTCGGGAGACTCTCCTGGGCCCAGCCCAGGAATTGGACACTAGCCTGAGTAATGTAGCAAGACCCTGTCTCAAAAAATAAAAAAATAAAAATAAAAAAGATTGGGTAAAGAGGTAGAGGTTGGTTAGTGACTTTCAAGGAAGCTGCCAGGTCTATTCTAGGGTTTATGTTTTATTGAGCTACTATATATAACTGAAAAATTTTATTAGGACTTGCCTGTTCAGGCTTAAATGGACTTTCTGATTTACTAAAAACTAAATCTTGGATTACAAAAGAGAAAGGGTCAGTAGAAACTCTGTTTTACAAAATTTTTCTTTTCACTTTGTTCAGATGTGAGCAGGACATCAGCCCTCAAAGATTAGCCTGGCTCTGGCTACTAGTACTAGAAAAATGGTTGGCCCAGGAAAAGGTAAGAAAATTTACATTTAAATTTATATTCTCCAAGTGAATAAAAGCAGTTTAGAAAAAAGTATGTGTGCTATACATGCTTAAATACATGCATAGAAAATGACCTGAGTGCTCTTAGACCACAACATTAATAGTAGTTCTCCTCCATTAGGAAGATTAGATGTTTTTTATATATTTATAAAATATATAGTTTTTTAGTTTTCATATTTGTATACTCTAATTTTCACCAACATTGAGCATACCTTGCTTTTATAGTAAGGAAATCTGTGCTTAGAAACAGTGAGCAAGGGCTGGGGATGTGGCTCAAGCGGTAGCGCGCTCGCCTGGCGTGCGTGCGGCCCGGGTTCGATCCTCAGCACCACATACAAACAAAGATGTTGTGTCCGCCGAGAACTAAGAAAAAAATAAATAAATATTAAAAAAAAAAAAAAAAGAAAAAGAAACAGTGAGCAACTTCTTGGCTGTTTTAGAAATATTAGTCATTTATGGTCCTGAATATGCTTAAAGTAAATTCACCAATAAAATAAATATAAGCTAATCATTCTTTAGAATTCTAAAAAAAGACTTAAAAAGTTAACCAGAGTATTAAGGACTTGTTGTCTTAGATATCTTACCTGTTTTTTCCACTTCTCAAAAGAAGCACTATTCAGCTTCTCAGCATCATCTTCCAATGTTGAGCATTATACAAGCATTTATATGGAATTGGTTCATGTTAGGAAAGAGTATGGTAAGAAGTAATAAGATTTGGACTACAAACACATTAGATCATGCTAGCCTTTGATGTGATAAATGGCACATGAAAGAAGGAAGTGTGCTCTTGTGTTCTAAACACTTCTCATACACACACACACACACACACACACACATACACATACACACACACACACTCCTACAGGTGCTTCCTGCCTTCCAGTAAAACTCATCTTTGGGAAGCTTTAATCGGAGTCCTGATTTATGAATGTCTCTAATTCATTGTTTGCAGAATTAGTCCCAGGCTCTTATTTTTGTTTCTAGAAAAACAAAAGACTCTATTTTGAGTTTTCAGGAGCAGGTGTTGGGAAATTATTGTGAAACAAGCAAATATAGAAAGGGTCATAGGTTTCCTCTCTATTCATACATTGGACATTGCTGATGGCATGGTCTCATTAACAAACATTGGGATCAGCCAGCATGATTGCACATACCTGTAGTCCCAGGCTCTTGGGAGGTTGAGGCAGGAGGATCACTTGAACTCAGGAATTCAAGGCCACATAGTGAGACCCTGTCTCAAAGAAACAAAAACAAAAGTTATCTT